TCACACATTCTGTCAGGGTCATATGTGCATCTCTCATTGCTGGAACCAAATACCTGACAAGAAGCAACTCAATGGGGGAAGGGTCTGTTTGATCCAGCGTGAGGGGATACAGTCCACCATGGTGGGGAAGGCATGATGGCCGGTGAGTGAGGCTTCTGGTCACAGTGTGCCTGCAGTCAGACGGAAGCAGACAGTCAACAGAAAGTGGGCTAGGCTGTAAAACCTCAAGGCCAACCCTTAGTGACCACTCTCTCCACCTCCTAAATGTTTAATGGCTTTCCTAAACAATGTTCCCAAATACTAGTCGGGGACCAAGTGTTCAAACACATGACTCTATGAGGGGCATCTCACACTCAGACCACAAGGGCCCACTCCTCAATGCAAGATGATCCCGTTTCAATATTCTTAACTATATCTGAAAGCACATTATTTCTAAACAAGGTCCTGGTCAGGGGTAAATGAACACAGCCTTCTGTGGGGCAGTTTAGCCTACTGCCTCTCACATCGTAGTAACCTGCCCCTTAAGTTTTAGCTTCAGGTAACAAAACGTGCAGATCCCTAAGCTGGGGTGTTTTGGAATAAATTACAGATAATGCAAAGCAAAGCTTTCCTTAGGCACCGAGTACAAATTAGCCTGCCCCGTGCTTTCTGCTCCCATTTTGGTCAGCCTTAAGTGAATGAAATGATTTTCTCATCTGTTCAAATTCCCATGTTACCAAAGACTTCCTTCATCTTATTGTGTTCTCTCTCTCCCTCTCTTGCTCTCTCTCTCTCTCTCTCTCTCTCTCTCTCTATCTATCTATCTATCTCTCCCCTCCCCTCATTCAATGAACTAACATTATGAGAGCAGAGGAAAGGAACACATTAAACACATTTAAAAAGTACTTTTTAGAAAGGAAGATGAGACCATCACTATGTGTAGCCAGGTCCGGAACCAGGTCCACACTAAGGGCCAGTGATGCCCATTTGCCGTATGAAATGAAGAGGTGCAAGAGAGCCAGCCCTCTGGCCTGCTCCTTGGTAGAGCTCCCCTTGCCTTGTACACAACCTCACAGTTCCAGCGAAGCTGAGCCCAGGAAGTCCCTCCTCCCCAGTAGAGCTCCTTCTCTTTCCCTGGATTCGGGAGCAGTACAGGGACTTTCCGGTAACTACAGCACCCAGGTTTCTAAGCAGGCCCCTGCACTCCCCTCAGAGATGGGTGAATGTGATGTTCTTCGTTCAGGTATGAGGTGAAGCCAGTCTGGAGGCAGGAGAGAACTGCTGCTTCTGTTTTGAGCACAAATTCCCGAACGAATAATAAACTGAGCAACACATACCAACAAGCTTAGAGAGGTGTGTGCGACTGCACCGGTCACGATTGGCATCTTTATTTGTTCAGTGACATGTGGACTGAAGAGCCAGCAGTCACACTTCTAATTTATGCAGTACTGCTAAAATGCCAGCGATGAAAGGTGGACTGTGCTGTCAAGCTACGTGTGTTACTGAATTAAACTGAGGCAAGTGAAATTCATTTATAGAACCATGCAGTGTGGGGACCGTAAAGTCAACACCCACTCAGCAAGCCAGGAAAAATAAAAATAATAAAATGAACCAAGGAATCACATAATAGCTAGGTATGGTAGCACATGCCTTTAATCCCAGCATGGGGAGGGTGGAGAAGAAGGTGGATTTCTGTGAGATCAAGGCCAGCCTGGTCTATGTAGAGAATTCCAGGGCAGCTGGGGCTACAGGGAAGCCCTGTCTCAAGGAGGGGAAAGAGAGGAAGGAGGAGGGTGAGGAGGAGGACAAGGAGGAAGATGAGGAGGAGGTGGAAGAGGAGGGAGAGAGGGAGGGGAGGGGGAGGAGGAGGAGGAGATGGAGGGGGAGAGAGGGAGAGGGGGGGGATGAAAAGGAGGGGGGGGGAAAGGGA